GGTCACCAATGACGCTGAAAGCTCCATCAATGTCCTAAAGACAAAAAGACCAAAATGCACTTGATACAAAACAGTTTTCTTATCATCAAACATTGTTCCTTTCTATGTGGATTAAAGGAAGAATTGATATAAGCTTAAATGCCTCACCCCTGAGAGAATATAGGAGCACTCCCCATGGAAAGAATACATTTTGTCGTCATAGGTGGAGATGTGGCTGCCGCCCAGCACGGAGCAGATACCTTCGCAATCTACATTCTCACAGCGCCACTGAGCCTGCGCGCAGGTGCTGTCAAACAGAGTTCAGTCAGTCCAACTGTACACGTCAAGTTAAATGCACATGTTATAAACATTATCATGAAAATCGTAAGTCATTACCAATTTTGACATGTGCTTGAGTATGAGTCCCCTGGTTTGTATGGCTTTCCATTGTGTAAGCAAGAGCATGTGTCAGCAGAAACACACCCCCTATGTGTAATGTCATCAAAGACCGTCCCTTGGGAGAAACACAATGACGTGATTAGTCTAATCTGTAAACTCAATCATCACGCAGTGCAAACACCATTAATCATTTTGTACACATGAATTAACAACATACAGGTTTACTTTTTAAAAATATAAAAATCACATGTCGTATCTAAGTGAAACTGCATTAAATCCATGCGCCTCATGTACAATTCATTGTCAATGTCATGACAACTTTATTCTCTATTCATTTGAGATAAATTAGGCTACAAAGTTGAGTAAGTGCACCTAACCTAGAAGACAACGGCAAATGTAATGGATGTGATTATATAAACTTTACGTGACTGATCTGTATTTGTTGGCAACTAAATACCTAAACAAGGCCTGCCACCTCATTTTGTAACTTCAGCTTCTGTTGTTACAACAGCTTGTTGTTAATTTAATTTAACATCATACATTTCTCATTCTGCACATCTGAGTCAATTTTAACATCAGGCAACTTACCTGTTGGACAAAAACATCCATCTAAGCAGTGATCATCACACACATGGCTCCTCTGGGAGTTGCTGCAGGTGTCAGTACAGGGACTACCGCATTCCTTGTACTCCATGTTAAAAGGGCATGTTTTTGCTATACAACACACAACAAAAAGTTACATTTAGAAAAAGTGATTCTGCAGTAAAAACATCTAACCTCAATTGTAAATGTTCTTACCACACAGTTGGGGTGTCTTCCATTGCTGTGGTACCCCGCCTGCGTGAGCGCACTGGCGAGAATACTCTGATGTGGTCGAACACAAGCATGAAGAGCTGCTGTTACAGCGGCACAGGTCCTTCACACAGGCTTCGATGAAGGAGTCAGTATCGATCAGCTCTTGACAGTTAAGGAATGCAGGTCCTGTCAGCAGGTCTTTACAGATGTTTTTCTGTGGGCAAAAGTGTAGTATTAAACATGTACCGTGGCTATTGTTATATATAAAAGGATGTGAAAGGCAAATCTATTTTCACATACTTGATCGTTACAAGTGTGGCTGGCGGGAGAGGATGTCATTTCACACTCTTCAATGGGACCATCGGCTTTCCAGAACTGCCCATAAATGTCAAGAGGGACAGATTCTCCTGTTTCGAGAGGAAAAACAGCTTTTAGCAAATAGGAAGAATAATTTTGAGCAGATTGTGTGTGTGTGTGTGTATTCACCTGATACGATGAACTCGTTTAAAACCTGAACTCCATCGTAGTCACCACACAGGCCACAAGTCTGATTCTTGAATTTTTTATCCAGCTCAACCTTAAAACCGGTGTGAGAATTTCAGTTGAAAGGAACTAAAAACTCTCACACTCTTCACAATTGCTTCCCTTACATTTAACATGGACTAATCGTTATGTCTCCAGTCAATTATTGAATCTCTAAAACAGTTGTAAAACTAAAGAAGTTAACAAAAATAGTGGTACAAAGCAACATTTAGACATTGTTGGTACGTAGGTGCAAGATGAGGACAAAACGAATAGACATACCCAGAGAGAGTCTTTTTCATTCCACATGACAACCAAACCAAGCTTTGCCTCAATTTTCACATAGGAGATGAGTCTTGCAATGGAAATGCCGACCTGGCTGAATGGTATGGTGACTCTGTAGGGAGAGGAGGGGGATCAGACATTACTCGAACCAAATTGTGATTGTAATGCTGGAAAACAAAAGTCAAATGAACAACATCAATACGACCGAAGGAGAAGACAGGATCTAACGGTATATTTAGGAGCATAAAGTCAGTTTCTACGAAGATGATGTACCGGTTGCGATCGTCAACCCTGGTTCCGATCTACCTGTAAATAAAAATTCTGTATTTTGTCCTTATCAAAATCCAGAATATTTTATGTATTGTTATTGAATCTACCTGTCGACCTCTTGGTTTAACCCATCGTGTGTAGCCAAATGGAAAACTTTGGAGTTACACTTAACCAAAAATCCAATACGGGCATTGTTTGTTGTGTTTGTAAGGAAAAGGAGGATTTTCTCCCGGAAAGTATATGTGGGATGAGTTCAAATTGTTCTCTCTACTTTAGCAATCTTTGGTAACATTTGGATTGTGGGGGCAGGACTTTTATTATAGATATTTACAACTTTGTGATCATTTTTCAGTGTCAAATGTTATTCATCTGTTCACCACCTAATGGGCTATATGCAAAATAATAATTGGAAAAATAGTGTGGCTATATCTCCATGTGTTTTAAACAGAAGTGACATAAACATACACTCAGATATGGTGCTCTTTGTCAATGATAGGTCTATATTAACAGACCTACATCTTTGATATCAGCTGACCTACTTCCTACAACTCAAAAAAACAGTTATGTGCTTATTCACTTCATGTTTCTCATGTGTTTTTATTCACTGTGACAAATAAATATACAGTTAAAAAAAACAAAAAAAGACTTACTCTTCATTATTGACTTTGATGGAAGTGTTGGCTAATTCCACAACGGCCCCCTCCAGTTTCATTGTGACCTTTTTAATGGTTATGGCTCCATTCATCTCCTGCCGTTGGAGCTGAATATTGAAACTATCATAGCTTCCCTTACACTGGGAAGCAAGGATGTAGTTGCAAGTAGAGGGAAGTTGGAAGAAATCTCCGTCGAAAGTCTTGAAGTGATAGTTTCCCCACGTACTGCAGATCTGGTCATTGTGAGCGCGTCTCACCTCTAGATTAAGGAGGAAAAATCATGTATTACACTTGCACAACTTTTAGGTTTTTATACTTCATCTTTGAAAATGAATTACCTTCAATTACTGGCATTCTGGCAACCGTCTGAACCATGTCTGAAATAAAACACATTATCAATAACACAGACTGTTTCCATTTGTATTGTCCAAAACACACAATGAGGTAGAATGCATGCAGGTCTCTTCGTATGCCATTGACTGAACCTACCAGTGCTGACTGCGGCTGGTCCGAGGAAGAGGGTGAGCCATGGAATTACCCATTCAAGTAGCATCTTGGCTGCTGTCATGATCTTGAGTTGTCCCTGTCCTGACAGGGATGGTGGAGATAACTGGTCCCACACTAAGAACGGCATGTTAAATAGTTCATTGGGTGTTTGCATTTAAGGAGGGGTACAGCTGACATTCTGGGTGTCAACCAATGTGGTTTTGTCTCTATTAAGATCACACCCTTGAAGAGGCTGCTTATGACAACAATTCATCCTCATACAGTGTATCCGTCTCCTAAGTCATTCTACCTGTCTTTTGTTCTTTTGTAAACAATAACATATATCCTGTAAGTTAGAACAATCCTTTAAATGTAACATGTATAAAGTTTCCGCTGATGATACACTGCATGTTTCGATTACAGAATATTTTTTATTCATGTCCTGTTCCTTGACAAAGGAAGATTAGCATTTATGCACGGTGTACTTTTCTCACTGATGCGTAGCATTTAAAGCCGTGGGTTGAACCTCTGCGTCGGTTGAGTAACTGCATAACACACTGGATTAATATTTTGCTTGGCTTCAACATAGACCTTTGAAATGACAAACACAGTCATCAGTTGGACCATGTCCGAGCCCCCTGTTGACCCAAATACTCCGTCCCCGGAACATTGGCACGGTGGTTTCTCACCATCATAACCCATGTACATACTGTATATACATTTTTTAAATTGTTTTCATTTTGCTTTTACTGTATATTTTTTATTTATTTTACTTTATCTTATCTTAAACAATTTTATTCTTGTATTACACTGATCATCAAGACCAACTCCAATTAGGTGTAACATATCGGACCAATGCTGTGGATACAGAATGTATATCTCATAACTACATATATATCCTATAGAGTCATTTCTGAATGCTGTGGGTTGGTGAGAGCGATATTACTGTAATTTATAAGATTAAGAAGTCCTTCTAAAACTCCTGGTAACATTTCTTTGAGATTGAGAGGTTAAATATTTTGCAACAAACAAACTTTTTTTTTTTAAGTCACAGAAAAGAAGATTGCATGGGTCTGGGAACTTTGTAGTACGGGCCTTAGGACTGTGTATCAAACCCACATTTATTTCAGCCAACTATAAGAAAGTATTTGATGTTACATTTTCTTCGGGCTTCTATGTTTAAACAGTTTTTTGGTGAACAAAACATTTGGGCTGATATGTATATATGGATAGGAACATTACATTAGATGTCATTTAGCTGACACTTTTATCCAAAGCGACTTACATTGCATTTTGAACCCATGGTTTTTACATTTTTGCCCGGGGAGCTGTTAGGGGTTAGGTGTCTTGCTCAGGGACACTTCAACATGGGACATGGAGCATTTGCACTTTGACCAAAAATAGTTTAGCTAGTTAATTCTGTTTTAAACTTTCACTGGTCAGAGTGGAATTAGTATTTTTCCACAAATGACATGAGAGGGAATAAAAATTCTGATGTTTTTTCTGCCAAATCTAACAGTTCAAACATTTGCTATTAAAGGTAAATTCCTTGATACATCCAACAAACTAACAATGTAATATTAGTCCACAAAAAGCAGATTGACACACAAACAGTGTTGCATATTTTTATTTGATTAATAGACAGATAAATTCTACAAAGGCGAGTGCTTTGGAAAAAGTGTAATCATTGTTAAGATAATACGGGAAGAAATTTTTACATTTCACTTCCATTTCCAATTTTCATCACACCAGTGTAGAGCTTCGCCTCCTGCGAGTCAGTTGTGCAGCAGCTGTGGCGCAATCTCTGTGGCCACAGCCACACTCATCTACATGGGTGTATGAAAAGGGCACCACGTCTCCATTCAGACAGTGTAACGCAATGGTGCGATTGCTGGAGCGTGTCTCCTTGCAGCAGGAGCATGAATGCTGCATAGCAGCTGCTGCTTCAGAATACCTAAGGAAAGCAGAGGCAGAGTTGGTCAATAAACGGAGAATCAGTGCAAAATATTCAACACATTCAAGTCTGCATCTTAACAGGTTTGAGAATATATAGAAGAATTAAAAATATTAGTGATATGCTTACTTGGTGAAGGTGTTGCAGGATCCTTCACAATATGGCATATCTACCTCCTCGTTAGACTGACAGCGGTTGTGCATAACTTTCTGTTTCATGGACACTAATTTGCAGCCTTTATCCCTCGACACACCTGTTCAAAAGAAACCCACAATTAGACTGTTTTCATCTAAGTACCTTTTACCCAAAAGTGTAGAGAATGTCATACTCACAAATTTTACAACAGCCATTTGCTGCAGTCTCAATTGTGCCCTAAAGAGGTAAAGAATACTCTGAATATTTGTTCTCACACAACCAGACAATTCAGATCTATTGTTTCAAAGTGATAAGTGATACTTACTGGTTGGCAGTCTTCCTTCACGAATGCTGGGCAGACAACGTGTGACTTATATGTTGTTAAAGTATCACCAATCATAAGACAGGAGTAATGCTCGCACTGATTCAGTGGTGGTGACCAGGTGTCTCCTGGCTAGAGAGCAGTGAGGTGGATATAGACAAAGACACACACACAGACATCAAAAAACAGTACATATGTCATTTAGGCTATTTAACATTATCATCTGGATTAATAGATTATTAAACTTACCTTTAAGAGGTTCTTGGTATCATTAACAATGGCAATACAGTGAGTCTGCACACACTTCCCACAGCATTCAAGGGAATCAGTTTCCATATATTCATATCCCTGAAAAGGAGGGTGGGGGATTAAGTTACCAAGTGCTTATTTTCCTATTCACGTTCCAAGAAAACATGTTTTCAGACGAATGGTTGAAATTTCTCTTACCATGTCACAGTCTGTTTGACATTTCTGAAATTCACAATGTATCTTGAAGAGACCAGAACGCGGGTCCACCTCATTTGTACAGACACAATCCTGACATTTAGGCGCAGGAACTGGAGAGCCAGGCTAGCGTGTAAAGAAGAAATGCATTCATACATTTGGGTTGTGTGTTTAGCCATACAGAAATTTTGCATCAGAAATCATAAAAAGAAGAAAGGTTTCTTATTTACCTGATATTCACTCTCTTTGTGAACACAAACCCTTTTGGGCTCTAGAAAAAAGCAAGACATTGGGATCACAAAGTGTCACTAACATCATATGTTTTGTATAAATTCAAACCATGAATTCATGAACTCACCGCAAGCTCGTTCTGGGCAGCATTTTCCCTCAGGAACACTAATAACGGGTTTATAACCTATCGGACAGTTCATGTTGTAGACTGGGCACTTGCTGCTTTGACATTCTGTGGAGATAATATTAGTTTCACAGTAAACAACTAAGAGGCTTCAAGTGTGTTATCAATGTAAGACATTCTGAAGAAGTTGGAGGACAAATGTGCATCTAAACTAAATCTCTTACGGCAAACAAAGGAAGAGCAGCAGGAGTCTGATGGATTGGTTTGGTTGATGACGACAAACCCAGGTTCACTGCAGTTTGCTATTGGTGGTTTTGGGCATGCCTTAGGTTTGCAACTCACAGTCTTGGTCGACTCCTCACAGATGCAGGTTTGGCATTTGTAGTCAAACCTCTCATTAAACTAAAAGATTAAATAACAATTGTGACTCAATTGTGTCTTTCATGTAGACAGCACAGGTTAGTATTATATCTGATCAGTAAAAGACCCACCTCTCGGGGAATTCCCTCAGGATCAAGACATCCTGTTGGAAAGAAAGCATTTCAAGATTGATATAATATGGAATACAGTATATATAGTTCAACAACAGGACTTGAGAATATACACCACACTTACCACACTTGTCAACACACACGCCAGAGTCTTTGTTGAAGAGTTTCATCCCATCAGGACAAAAGCAACCCTCTGTAGTGTAGTTCATGGTTGATTCATTAGGACTGTAATATTGAATTGTGAAAGAAAGAAAGATTTAGTCAAATTGATTTATATAGCACTTTCAAGGACAAAACTCCCCCGTAATTAACATTAAATACTCAATAAACATATAGATTCAAACTAAATCACTGACTCTGTGAACTGCCGGGTACATGCAGAGCGATGCATAGCATGCCACTGCCTCAAAAGCTCGATAACACCGGTCACATAGTGTCATATGTGCTACAGGGAGCAAGTGAAGTGAAGTGTGTGCATGAGAGGGGGGGGGGGTCTATTTGTCCATGTGAATAATCTTATGGATTTACTACGGACGGTTAATAGCAGACATACTGAGTAAGAAAAGTGGATCACAGTAACCAATACGCACAGTAAGAACACTTACTCAAAGATTTTCCTTACAGATCTCTCCCTAACAAATAACTAATACCATTCACTGTGTAATATAGTAGTACTTAAATATACACACTGCCAATATCCATTATGATCTTAATCCATTAATGCCAATGTGCAGAATTAACTACAAAAGCAAATTACCTCATTTATATGTATTACTTACTTGTCGTCACAGGTTGCTTGTTCTGCAGGACCACAGGGTTTGTAAACTTTGTTTGACGGGCAGGCACCCTCTGTTAGTGAGTAAAATAACTCAATTAGTTCTGTTGACAATACATACTTCCTACCTACTGTATAAACATATTATTATCAGAAGCCTGTTTAATGTGTGCTAGATATAACACAACTAAATTTAATGAGTTACCCCTTTTCATTCCAATACTCAAAATGTGCAATTAATGACAGGGAGGAGTTGCTTACCACACAGGGTGGTGTGGTTCCTCCAGTGCAGACAAACCCCCACCTGAGCGCAGGCAGCGGCGTAAGTCTGTAAACTTGTGCATTCCACTGCTGGGTTGGCAACATGGCAGCCATCAAAAACACAACCTCGGTAGAAATTGTCAGGAGAGACAAAGGGATGGCACGCTGCGAAGAGACTGCAAAAGTATAACACAACAAAAATTGAATTAAAAAACAATTGTATTATTCGTGGGGTTGAATGTCTACTGCTATTGTTGATTAGATAATGTCTACCTGCTCGTAAGCAGGTGACATATGGAGTCTGGTTTGCATGGAGTAGAGGTTGGTGCAGGCCCAGGTGCATTGGTGGGCAGTACAGATGGTATTTGGCATTTGGGTTGATAAATGTGTTTTGCAGGCCAATAATCAGCCATCACTGCACAGTCTTCTATCAGCTTCCCTCCAGGCAGCATGCAGTCATCAGCCTGGTTGTTATTGCATGTGCCTAATGGTAATCAGAAAGCAGTTCAAATTACAGTCAACTTTAAACAGAGGATTTGCCAATATGGCCACAGGTGAAAGATATGTTCTTACCACAATGGCCTTGTGTGTTACCACCAAATGATTGATATGGAAGGGTGACACTGAAGCCAGTTATTCCAAATGTAATGACCACTTTTAGGCTGGGGATCTCCAAAATCAGGTTAATTCCAGAATCCAAGATTTTAACATCATGTGTAGCATATGGTAGTTTCAGACGGACTCCGTTTCTCTGTGCCTACAAGGAAAAAAGTTAACACACTATAAGAAAACAAATCTATAGTGTGAAAAAAAGACTCATCACAATATTCCATCTACATTGACAATGATACATCTGCTTAAATTAGCCCAGCAATATTTTATGAACATAGGATTAAACATTATTACATATTGTCTTACCTCCAACTGTGCTGCTCCAATGAGGTTATGATTTATGAATGTAATAACATCTCCTTTGTAAGATATAATTATTGATCGTGGACAAGAAACATCTTCAGTGGGATCACAGTAGACATTGTCAATATAAATGTTCAAATGATGTTTTGGTAAAATCTCTTCCATCAAGACGTAAGTACAGTTTCCTTGATAACTGTAGAATAATCCATCAAATGTGATGTAATGAGGATCTCCCCAGCCTTCACAGACGCCTGAAAAAAACACATCATAAAGGTATTAGCAATTTAGTTATGGGAGAAGTGTAAAAATTAATAACCCTTTTTAGCGCAGAGTAACTTACAGTCACATGCGTAATGCTGGCAGCAAAGGTACTCATCCCACACCAAAACTGGTTCCTTTCCATTGGTACAAGTGATGTTCTCAAGGGGTGGACATACAAGTGGAATAATTTCAATTGTATAATTCTCAATGCATCGGGCCATGTAGCACTTACACAAATAGAAGGTTTCATTTACCTAGTGTAGAGAAAGAGAGAGAAAGAGGAAAAAGGGATATTATTATTATTATTTTGAACTAAATACCATAATATATTTTATGTTCAAGATACAATAGAATTCTTACTGTTACATTCCATTCAGGACAGATGGGTGGTGTGGGAGTTGTGGGTGAGGGAGATGTAGATTTCTGGGTTGTGGTTGTTGTGGGCTTCTCGGTTGTGGTTGGTGTCTCTGTTGTAGTTGTTGTGGTTGGTGTCTCTGTTGTAGTTGTAGTTGATGGGGTAGTTGTGGTTGTTGTGGGCTTCTCAGTTGTGGTTGGTGTCTCTGTTGTAGTTGTAGTTGATGGGGTAGTTGTGGTTGTTGTGGGCTTCTCAGTTGTGGTTGGTGTCTCTGTTGTAGTTGTAGGGGTAGTTGTGGTTGTTGTGGGCTTCTCAGTTGTGGTTGGTGTCTCTGTTGTAGTTGTAGTTGATGGGGTAGTTGTGGTTGTTGTGGGCTTCTCAGTTGTGGTTGGTGTCTCTGTTGTAGTTGTAGTTGTTGTGGGCTTCTCAGTTGTGGTTGGTGTCTCTGTTGTAGTTGTAGTCGATGGGGTAGTTGTGGTTGTTGTGGGCTTCTCAGTTGTGGTTGGTGTCTCTGTTGTAGTTGTAGTTGACGGGGTAGTTGTGGTTGTTGTGGGCTTCTCAGTTGTGGTTGGTGTCTCTGTTGTAGTTGTAGTTGTTGTGGGCTTCTCAGTTGTGGTTGGTGTCTCTGTTGTAGTTGTAGGGGTAGTTGTGGTTGTTGTGGGCTTCTCAGTTGTGGTTGGTGTCTCTGTTGTAGTTGTAGTTGATGGGGTAGTTGTGGTTGTTGTGGGCTTCTCAGTTGTGGTTGGTGTCTCTGTTGTAGTTGTAGTTGATGGGGTAGTTGTGGTTGTTGTGGGCTTCTCAGTTGTGGTTGGTGTCTCTGTTGTAGTTGTAGTTGTTGTGGGCTTCTCAGTTGTGGTTGGTGTCTCTGTTGTAGTTGTAGGGGTAGTTGTGGTTGTTGTGGGCTTCTCAGTTGTGGTTGGTGTCTCTGTTGTAGTTGTAGTTGATGGGGTAGTTGTGGTTGTTGTGGGCTTCTCAGTTGTGGTTGGTGTCTCTGTTGTAGTTGTAGTTGATGGGGTAGTTGTGGTTGTTGTGGGCTTCTCAGTTGTGGTTGGTGTCTCTGTTGTAGTTGTAGTTGTTGTGGGCTTCTCAGTTGTGGTTGGTGTCTCTGTTGTAGTTGTAGTTGATGGGGTAGTTGTGGTTGTTGTGGGCTTCTCAGTTGTGGTTGGTGTCTCTGTTGTAGTTGTAGTTGTTGTGGGCTTCTCAGTTGTGGTTGGTGTCTCTGTTGTAGTTGTAGGTGATGGGGTAGTTGTGGTCGTTGTGGGCTTCTCAGTTGTGGTTGGTGTCTCTGTTGTAGTTGTAGTTGATTGGGTAGTTGTGGTTGTTGTGGGCTTCTCAGTTGTGGTTGGTGTCTCTGTTGTAGTTGTAGTTGATGGGGTAGTTGTGGTCGTTGTGGGCTTCTCAGTTGTGGTTGGTGTCTCTGTTGTAGTTGTAGTTGATGGGGTAGTTGTGGTTGTTGTGGGCTTCTCAGTTGTGGTTGGTGTCTCTGTTGTAGTTGTAGTTGATGGAGTAGTTGTGGTTGTTGTGGGCTTCTCAGTTGTGGTTGGTGTCTCTGTTGTAGTTGTAGTTGATGGGGTAGTTGTGGTTGTTGTGGGCTTCTCAGTTGTGGTTGGTGTCTCTGTTGTAGTTGTTGTAGTTGATGGGGTAGTTGTAGTTGTTGTGGGCTTCTCAGTTGTGGTTGGTGTCTCTGTTGCAGTTGTAGTTGATTGGGTTGTTGTGGTTGTTGTGGGCTTCTCAGTTGTGGTTGGTGTCTCTGTTGTAGTTGTAGTTGATGGGGTAGTTGTGGTTGTTGTGGGCTTCTCAGTTGTGGTTGGTGTCTCTGTTGTAGTTGTAGTTGATGGGGTAGTTGTGGTTGTTGTGGGCTTCTCAGTTGTGGTTGGTGTCTCTGTTGTAGTTGTTGTAGTTGATGGGGTAGTCGTGGTTGTTGTGGGCTTCTCGGTTGTGGTTGGTGTCTCTGTTGTAGTTGTAGGTGTAGTTGATGGGGTAGTTGTGGTTGTTGTGGGCTTCTTAGTTGTGGTTGGTGTCTCTGTTGTAGTTGTGGTTGTAGTTGATGGGGTAGTTGTGGTTGTTGTGTTTAAACACATGTCACAACATACTCTGATCTTGTAGTTGAAACATTTTCGCGGAGGTCTGATCTGGTCCTCTTTTTTACATATTAAGCCATAATCCAAATCACAAGAAACAACTTGGCCAGTCTGACTCACAAAGTCCTCAAAATCTTTGTTAGGATAATCTGTTGCTCTACAATCTATTTCTTTTGGATTTTTGCATATTTCTTTACCATTATTTAAGATGTTTTCATATGTTTCCCAGTCACTCTTGTCCTGTAGTGGGTTATGCACATCATACCATTCTGACCACTCACACTCTGGAATACAAGGTGTAGTGGTAGGTGGTGTAGTTGATGGGGTTGTAGATTGTGTAGTTGTGGTTGTTGTGGGCTTCTCGGTTGTGGTTGGTGTCTCTGTTGTAGTTGTAGGTGTAGTTGATGGGGTAGTTGTGGTTGTTGTGGGCTTCTCAGTTGTGGTTGGTGTCTCTGTTGTAGTTGTAGTTGATGGGGTAGTTGTGGTTGTTGTGGGCTTCTCAGTTGTGGTTGGTGTCTCTGTTGTAGTTGTTGTAGTTGATGGGGTAGTTGTGGTTGTTGTGGGCTTCTCGGTTGTGGTTGGTGTCTCTGTTGTAGTTGTAGTTGATGGGGTAGTTGTGGTTGTTGTGGGCTTCTCAGTTGTGGTTGGTGTCTCTGTTGTAGTTGTTGTAGTTGATGGGGTAGTTGTGGTTGTTGTGGGCTTCTCAGTTGTGGTTGGTGTCTCTGTTGTAGTTGATGGGGTAGTTGTGGTTGTTGTGGGCTTCTCAGTTGTGGTTGGTGTCTCTGTTGTAGTTGTAGTTGATGGGGTAGTTGTGGTTGTTGTGGGCTTCTCGGTTGTGGTTGGTGTCTCTGTTGTAGTTGTTGTAGTTGATGGGGTAGTCGTGGTTGTTGTGGGCTTCTCGGTTGTGGTTGGTGTCTCTGTTGTAGTTGTAGGTGTAGTTGATGGGGTAGTTGTGGTTGTTGTGGGCTTCTCAGTTGTGGTTGGTGTCTCTGTTGTAGTTGTAGTTGATGGGGTAGTTGTGGTTGTTGTGGGCTTCTCAGTTGTGGTTGGTGTCTCTGTTGTAGTTGTAGGTGTAGTTGATGGGGTAGTTGTGGTTGTTGTGGGCTTCTCAGTTGTGGTTGGTGTCTCTGTTGTAGTTGTTGTAGTTGATGGGGTAGTTGTGGTTGTTGTGGGCTTCTCGGTTGTGGTTGGTGTCTCTGTTGTAGTTGTAGTTGATGGGGTAGTTGTGGTTGTTGTGGGCTTCTCAGTTGTGGTTGGTGTCTCTGTTGTAGTTGTTGTAGTTGATGGGGTAGTTGTGGTTGTTGTGGGCTTCTCAGTTGTGGTTGGTGTCTCTGTTGTAGTTGTAGTTGATGGGGTAGTTGTGGTTGTTGTGGGCTTCTCAGTTGTGGTTGGTGTCTCTGTTGTAGTTGTTGTAGTTGATGGGGTAGTCGTGGTTGTTGTGGGCTTCTCGGTTGTGGTTGGTGTCTCTGTTGTAGTTGTAGGTGTAGTTGATGGGGTAGTTGTGGTTGTTGTGGGCTTCTCAGTTGTGGTTGGTGTCTCTGTTGTAGTTGTAGTTGATGGGGTAGTTGTGGTTGTTGTGGGCTTCTCAGTTGTGGTTGGTGTCTCTGTTGTAGTTGTTGTAGTTGATGGGGTAGTTGTGGTTGTTGTGGGCTTCTCGGTTGTGGTTGGTGTCTCTGTTGTAGTTGTAGTTGATGGGGTAGTTGTGGTCGTTGTGGGCTTCTCAGTTGTGGTTGGTGTCTCTGTTGTAGTTGTTGTAGTTGATGGGGTAGTTGTGGTTGTTGTGGGCTTCTCGGTTGTGGTTGGTGTCTCTGTTGTAGTTGTAGTTGATGGGGTAGTTGTGGTTGTTGTGGGCTTCTCAGTTGTGGTTGGTGTCTCTGTTGTAGTTGTAGTTGATGGGGTAGTTGTGGTCGTTGTGGGCTTCTCAGTTGTGGTTGGTGTCTCTGTTGTAGTTGTTGTAGTTGATGGGGTAGTTGTGGTTGTTGTGGGCTTCTCGGTTGTGGTTGGTGTCTCTGTTGTAGTTGTAGGTGTAGTTGATGGGGTAGTTGTGGTTGTTGTGGGCTTCTTAGTTGTGGTTGGTGTCTCTGTTGTAGTTGTGGTTGTAGTTGATGGGGTAGTTGTGGTTGTTGTGTTTAAACACATGTCACAACATACTCTGATCTTGTAGTTGAAACATTTCCGCGGAGGTCTGATCTGGTCCTCTTTTTTACATATTAAGCCATAATCCAAATCACAAGAAACAACTTGGCCAGTCTGACTCACAAAGTCCTCAAAATCTTTGTTAGGATAATCTGTTGCTCTACAATCTATTTCTTTTGGATTTTTGCATATTTCTTTACCATTATTTAAGATGTTTTCATATGTTTCCCAGTCACTCTTGTCCTGTAGTGGGTTATGCACATCATACCATTCTGACCACTCACACTCTGGAATACAAGGTGTAGTGGTAGGTGGTGTAGTTGATGGGGTTGTAGATTGTGTAGTTGTGGTTGTTGTGGGCTTCTCGGTTGTGGTTGGTGTCTCTTTTGTAGTTGTAGTTGATGGGGTAGTTGTGGTTGTTGTGGGCTTCTCAGTTGTGGTTGGTGTCTCTGTTGTAGTTGTAGGTGTAGTTGATGGGGTAGCTGTGGTTGTTGTGGGCTTCTCGGTTGTGGTTGGTGTCTCTGTTGTAGTTGTTGTACTTGATGGGGTTGTAGATGGTGTAGTTGTGGTTGTTCCATTACATTCCTCCACACACCAGCCTGTCTCCTCATCAAATATGGGCTTGTCTTCTGGGCATTTGGGGTAACAGCCTGTAAAAATCATAAAACGTGTTTCATATTTTGACAGTGTTTTGTTTCTTTAATCTATGAAACAGAAGCTGTGTTGTTGGTCTTAAATGTATTATTATTTTAAGTTTGCCTCATTCAATCCATTCACAATCAACATTTATTTCATATTATTCAGAGGTAAGGTGAGGCATTGTGCGTCACCCCTTACCCTCTAGGTTGGGTAAAGGTTCGCTACAAATTCCTTCTGGATTCAAACAGGTCTTGTAGCAAGGTGTGTGGCAGGGGTGGTAGTGCCACTTGCATTCCTCTGGCTTATTGTAGTAATCACAAAAGACAGCTAAAAAAGAAAAATGAATACAAGTTTGTAAACATATGGGTTATACGGTGAAAGAGAGCTCCAACCATATGCAGAGGCTATACAAGATGAGCGGATAAGATGAAAGATGAAAATAACATAAAATCGTACTATGTACAGTATATATGCATACATAACAATTGTCAAAATGCTGGGGTCATACGATTTTTTGTTATCTAAAAACATTCCAAGCACCAGAATTTTTTTCTTCTTCTTTTTACTTACGACAGATTTCCGGTGTTCTCCACGCCACACAGACAGAAGCCTCGTTACAAGCTTGAGCATAAGCTGCGACCGCTGAGCAGAAACACTCGCAGTCCCCTCCAGTGTCGCAGGCACATGAGTCTTTCACACAGTTTTCATAAAATGGAAGGGGGGCTACCTGTTCAGTTGTAAAAATATATGATTTATTTTTGAAAATGGGTAAGGTGTTTTCAACCGTCACGATAAATTAGAAATGAATTAGAAATGTGTTATTACCTTATTGTGGCACTCTTTGAACGTATTTCCAATTATAATGCTGCACATCATTTTTGCCCAATGATGTCGATTGGGTCTTACTCCACAAGGGTCAGAAACTATATCTACATCTGGGCACTGGCTTGACACTTTCCAGCTATTTGCAAATTCTAACGGATTGCTCACTACCATCTGGCCCTGGGTAGTGAAGTCGTTCTGTCCATCACCATCAAAATTTCCACAAAGGCCACATACCTCTCCCTGTGCAGCCAAATAAAAGAAGTCAATTGCTTTTTTCACTTGAAGATAAGATTCTATTTCAATACACTACTCTTTGGCATTATAAAGAACACACATAGCCCAGGCAATAATATACTTGCTTCATCTTGACTGACAAAAAATTGTTTTAAATATTGTAGTACTGTAATAAATAACTTTTCAGCAATTTTGATATACTTTACATCAATATAACATTTGTGCACCAAAGCTTTAAAAGTGGTAAATAATTTGCACAGAAAGCTAGAACGCACCTATTAACAGTTCCTGTAATCATCATATGAAAAATTCCTGTGACTCACGCTGTTGTGGGGTTCCAAGATGATGCGAACAGTTGTTTTTCCATCCCACATCACTGCCAGACCGATGGCAGATTCTATCACCACGTACAAGCCAACCCTCCTTATCCTGTATTGGATCTCAGCACCATGTCCCAGGTCGGTCTCTTCATATTTACCCTTTGAAAGTTTGACTTCCATTCGCTGTAATGGAAAAGATGCATTTTTTAGGTTTTCATTCAACATTTATTTGATTATGATGAATACTACCACAAAAGACACATCCGGTGTTGGTATGAAGTCTTACCCCTAGTTGGATTCTGACAGTTTTGGAGCACGTGGTGCCTGTAGTTCCACATGGAATGTTTTCTGTGATAACCCCAAAGCTTTCCTCTGCGGTTTTATTGCCACATTTGTTCTTCAAAGAGAGAAATTGGATAAACATTATTGCTTTTTTTCCTTTGTGGCAGACAGTGTTCAGTGATAATGTCAAACTTCAGCTTGGCTTTCAATAGTCCACAATGGTTTGAAAGCGTTAAAGAAATGTTATAGTAATTGATCCCAAGCAGAAGGTGAATATATAGTTATTTGCATTGTTCATTCATATTTTTCATTATCACAAGCAGTAATCTTAAAATTTATGACGGTAAACATAACATTACTGAACATTCATAACTGAAACCCAATACAAAAGTATAAAATTAACTCAGCTTGTCTGAAGTCACTTCCTTATTCCTAAATAGTGCACTATTGTCACTGTGAACCTTTTATAGTAGATTGTGTAGTAGTGTGATAAGTAGATTTACGAAATCTCAATGTTCTACTGGCAATTGATCCATTAAATATGTATTCATTAATGAGTAGAGTAGACTGTCTTATGGAAGATTTTAACATGCGTTGTTTACCTTCACAGCAACATAGGCACAATGTCCTTGAAATCCATACGTTCGCTGATCAAATGTGTTGTAGTGACCACTCCCATAAATAACACAAGTTCCTGGACATTTTTTCTTGGTGCACTCCCAGCTTCCACTTTTGCAGGTACTAGATAAGAAACGGTTAAACATTGTACAGTGTTGTGAATGCTACGATGCAGTTAGACATGATGATAATTATGTAATGCTATACATCTGAGTAAGGTCATACCAGGTGTTGCATTGATCAGCGATTTGTGATCCAAGGGCATAAATGTGCCCATCATGTTGACATGGACATTGATTTTCTTTCACACAGGAACCTTTGCCATCATCAAGGAGGCCAGCTGGACACCGGCAGCCAGATTCACACTCTGTGGAGTCCTGAGGAAATTGAAAGATCATAGTGATTAAAAAATGTGAAAATATTACTTACACTGTTAAAAATCCCAGTTCAAATCACACAATATGTTACATCCTCCACGGAAAACATTGGCCACCATTAAAATCAGGAACAATTTTTAACGCTTAGCACTCACACAATCATCGCTGTCCAGATTCAAACAAGTTCGAGCACAGTGCAGTTGCAGGTCTGCTGCGCCCGCGGAGGAGCAGTTGAAGAACGTTTTTGGAAACGGGCATGCTGTAACAGGAGTAGGAACATATTTGATGAACACATTCATTATCAACAAGACCAGAATCAGTACAAAGTGCCCGTGTTGTGGTCCAAAAGATGTAAAAAACCTACTCGATGAGCGGGCTCTCCAAGAATGGCAATGAAGCATTCCATTGGTACACACGCTAGAAAAAAAAGAAGATGAAACGCCCCCCAAAAAACACACTCAAAAACTAAGAATGTAGTTATCTTAAAACTTAAATACTGGAATAATTCCAATTATGGAAAACCCTCAGTTTAGGATAATTAAAACAACGGACTCACCAGTGCTCGTCTTTGATACTGATGGACTTTCCTGACTTGACGTAGACTTCATTGTAGTAGCAGGGACATTTTGCCATGGGAACGCAGATGCCATTTTCATTTAGGTATAGACCCTCAGGGCAGGAGCAGCCGTCCACAGGCAAGAAGTCAGAAGTGCAACTTTGCTGCATTGTGCTCAGTGATCTGCAAGTCAACTGGCATCTCTGATGCTTGTAAGAGAAGATCTGCGACGTTGGGCAGCTCTTTGTGTATTTATCTGTTTTGTGCAAAGGGTCAGGATGGTTACTTAATAGTTGTGTGATTAAGTCATGAAAGGAAAGGCATTGATCAAACTCCAGATGTCAAGACTCAACTTTAGCAGAGAATAATGTGGCAAATCCTTACCGCATACATTCTCCCTCCAGTCTGTCAAGAGCACTCCCTTTGATGCACAGGCCCGAGCGTAGGACGAGAAGACGGCGCACAGGCAGTCTTCACTCTTCTCACAGTTACAGCTAGCATAAGTGCACCGCTGCAGGAGACAGAAAACACTGTTACTGAATCGCAGTCCCAACACAATGACTTTATAAGTGTGTGAGCAACAGAAAGGTTTTGCGGCACCTTGTAGTATATCTCAGGGTCCACCACGGAATGGCACGCCGCAAAATTGCTGTCTGGACTCAGTAGCAAGGCACACCAGTGTTTAGCATACCACTCTGGAAAAGCAAAAAAACTCTGTTGAACTGTCTAATTGGTTCAAGCACACTTTTCAATGCCTAAAATCCTTATGAAAACACTTATACAAATGAATGAAATGTTGTTACCGTTCTCCATACTGAGGGAACAGGGGTCCTCAAGTCTTTCCTCTCTGTCTTTGCACATGAGGTTTGCCTTCCAGGAGTTACTAAACATCAGTGCTGTTCCCTCAACCATCCCCTGAGGAGTCTTCATGTCATCAGACAGGACCATGTTGTAGTTCCCACATAAACCTGAAGAAACCAAATAGAAGCTGCCCATCAATATCATTATTTAATAACTCATCTAGGAATTTAGTTAATTTATTTGAGATTATTTGATGAACACATGCAATAGGGCAAAAACATACAATAATTGGGGATTTCCTTCATTGTGTTCATCATTATTAGGAAGAAGATACAACAGGTGTATATTTGAAGCCCAATCCACTGAAAACACCTCTTCCATCATCCGTACATAAATTACATAATATTTTATGTATATTGTTTGCTTTTTTGCTTTTTTGCATGATGCTTGTCCCTCTGTTTCATATAAGACAAATTCAAATAAATACCTTTTGTCTTTGCTCTGTAGCTTTGTTCCAGGCTCACATAGACTTGCATAACAGGAACATGCTGGATCTGAATTTGCAACCCAAAACTGGTCTGGAGCAAGATGTGAAAGGAGGAAGCATGGAATATGCTGACGTCTCCTTTGGATAAAGACAAATACAGAAACAGTCGGTTCATCGGTGTCATTGCATGAATGGCAGAAGACGATGACATGTTTCATGTTTCTTGATGTGTTTCTTGTTGCCTGACCCACCTGAGTGGTACGGCAAACTGATGAGCTGCATGTTCTGCTTCACTGTGCCATCAGAAGTGAACATTAACACCTGAATCATTCAAACAAAATCATTCTCATTAAAGTTGTACTTGCAGATATCAGTGTAAACTTATAAACGAGGAAAGTCATCTTTCCTGAAAGACTTTAACTCACGTTGTTCTTGTCATTGTTCAGCAGGATTTTAAGGCTCTTAAGACACGTGTCAAATTCTTGATTTGCACAAGGAACCAATTGAACCAGGATGGTAAACTTTGGACTCGCATGATCCTGAAATATACAAAGTAAGAGTGATTTAATATACATGTATATATATTTATACATCAGGTCCATTACACAGTATTTGTTCTGCCACTCAAATGGATACATCTATGTCTCATTCACCTTGCTTTGCACTTTAGCTAGAGTGTAGTAACAGTCTCCATGGAAGGTGTAGGTTTTCCCGTCAAAGGTAGTTACGTGTGAACCCTCTTCAACTGCACATGTAGCGGGTGCAAGAAGGCTCTCACAAGCCCATCTACCCTCAACACATGTACTGAGACAAGCCAAGCAATTTCCGTTAACAATAAAACAATTAAGGCATCCACATGAAATATTTTGCTGATTATATTTCTGACATACCACTCCTCTCTGTCCTGTCGGTAGACCTCACCAGAGTTATAGATTTTGTTGTGCTTGCACTGACATTCAGATTGAGCGATACAGCCTCTCATGGAAATGTCATCAAACACAGTTCCTGAAGAAGAAACGATTGACATGAGGAGGAACATTCTCGGACTATGAAATCTAAAGCTGATAGAACATTAATGGGTAGTAAAAAGTAAAACAGGCACTGACCAGGAGGACAGAAGCAGCCGTCGATTTTGTGGTCCTCACACAGTGAACTTGTGTCTAGTGCACATGTATCCATGCAAGGGGAACCGCTCTCTTCATAAATCATGTTGTACGGGCACTGTTTAGCTGTGAAGATATGGTCCAATTGAATCAAATTGAGGTGGGTTAGAGTTTGTTTCAATGTTTCAACAGCCAAGTTTAACAAAGACATTCACATAGCATCACACATAACATATTCACACTGTACTTATACGGTACAATAAGGACTGGTCGCATTGCATTGAACTAAGTTCATTGCTTTAGTACCCTCTCCACCCTGCAGCGTACGCAATAGGAATAAACTGAGAAGAGAACGTACCACAGAACTGAGGCGTCCTCCAGTTGGGAGGATGCCCTCCTGCGTGGGAACACTGCCGAGAGAACTCAGACAGTGTGCTGCAGACACAAAAGTAATTTGTATTGTTGGCACATCCACACATGTCCTGCACACAGGCCTGGATGTAAGGCTCCGGGTTAATCCGTCTGGTGCAGGAGCTCCAGGGGTCTGAACGCAGCATCTGGTTACAGGTGGTTTGCTAAAAAAAGAAAAAAGGAAAACAAGTTGCAAGTGCTACCTGGGTAATTAAATATCACTATTGCTAACACTCGCTGGACAATGCACTCACAAACTCTTTGCATGAATCCAGCACAGTCTCCAGGGATTCCTCTTCCTCCTCAGAGGGATCCTCGCAGTCATCGTTGGGACGATGGACTTTATGCTTGTTTCCAAACTCAATGGGGCTGATTTCGCGACCTGTATTTGATTGTTAATATAAAGTCAAATGATGAAGATACAGTGGATAGTTGTAGAAATGCATTAATTGACTAGTGACTAAATATATACCATTATGAACAAACTCATTGTGGAAAGGGTTGAAGTCTCCACAAAGTCCACAAGTACGATTCACATAATCTGCATCCAGTTCCACCTACAAAACAAAGCAGGTGTTTTTGCCAAGATCTTTCACATTTCGAATAATGCTTTTCAAAGAAAAACAAAACAACAGGGAATTGTGTAATTGCCTTGATAATTAAATGGGATACATACTGTGACAAGTTACAGTAATTAACATTGTGCCAAGAACCATAGGGATTTAATTAGACATAATTGAGATGATTGTGTTTCTGTACGTTTGGTCCGTTCCATCTTGAGCAAATAAAACAATTGAGTAGCATCACACAAGCTACTTTGAGGGCAGCCGTGTAGAGATAATTCTGTCTATATCATACCATGACTGCATCATCCCTGTTCCACATGACTGTGATGCCAACTTTAGATTGGAGCTTGATGTAAACGGGATTACTTTCCAATTGGACCCCTCCATTGTAGTAAGGTGTTTCAACACTGGGGGGAGGAAATGAATATTTTCTTAGTTAGAGTGCATAAATATCATAAAAAAGAGAAGGAGTACGGTGTTTCACTTACGGGAGGTTATTCGCAGTGATCATGTCCTTGGTGATGTGGAACAAAAGGTCATTGATGGTGACCACCACGTGACTGACTTGAGGGTTTCCATCTTTGTCTTTCCTCTTCATGTGCACGGAGAACTCCTGGTAGGTCTCGTGGCAATCGGAAACCAGGTTGTACTCACACATACCAGGAAACTGGTACACATTGCCGTCAAACGTCTTGAAGTGCTCTCTGCCCCACGTGCTGCAGATGTTGCTGACATGGTTGCGAACTGAGAGAGAATTTTAAGTGGGGAAAAAAAGCATTTTGAGTTACCAAATGTTCAACGTGACCGATATTGCAGGCCATACATTATTCATTAGTTTAAATAAAGCAGGACAATCAATCCACATAGTACTCAGATCAATATGAGTTTTACCCAGTCTGGCTTGGACGTCGAAGACGCTGGCAATGGACAGAGCAGCGAAACACAACCACACACATCCCACCCTCATTTTGCCAATGTGGGCTTGCTGTCACCAAAGGAGGTAATAGTTCTACTGCACCCTGACACCCCTTTATATAGAAACCACGCTCTGTTTTAGTTTGAACTTAAGTTTTATTGCCAGGACATGGGAAACATGTGCTGAATGAAGGTCTGACGACTTTTACAAGTCCAATATAATCAACATAATAATCTACATCCTCATTGCTTTACTGAATAAACATGCACATGTTTAAGAATGTTTATTCTCAGACGAATGTGCTGCAATAAAAACTGTTTAGTTAACAGTGTGCTCCTTTTATCATATTAAATATGTTCTTAACAGGTAGTTTATTCTGGATTAAAGTTATATATATATATATATATATATATAAATGAACATCAGACATGAGAATGTCATGCTGAGAGTTCTTTGCAATTTTAGATTTTTATTAAGTGATTAGAATTTAGCATCCATGATACATTGATATGAGAACTATGTCATCATATGGTTAAACAGGAAATAGGTATATTTCAAGTATTGGATTGTTGTCCAAGCCGGTCACACCCATTGTCACCAAGGATGTGCTTGTGCACGCAACACTAAACAGGATGGACAGGTAGGGATTACGCCACCAAACACCCCCCGTGCAAACAATGGACACCATACAACTTAATTTTCCAGTAAACATTACACTTTACTTTTTACTGATATAATAAAAACTAATCAGAATGATCAGAATAACAACTGATCTCCTTTTGAAATAGTAACAAAATAACATGAAATTATGACAACACACCATTTGCTTTACCTTGGACAAATGGATCATGAACCTGTGTTCGAATGATTTTATTCACTTTGCACTCTTTGTTTACTAAGAGGCCAACCACTGAGAAACTCATGAGCACAATATTGCCTGTAAATTGATCAATGGCTCTCTTTACCCATGTACCAAATGTTTAATGTTTAGTAAGCCTTGACAGTGAATTTATTTATCGTTTTGGTTGTATGTTTTTTATTCCATTCGTGTTTCATTTAAAAAAAATGAAGAACTTGCATTTAAATTCTAATATCTGAAGCTTTTACTTCTACTACTTTACTTCATTTCATTGAGATGAACATTAGTCAGACTTTAGCCCAGGATTCAGACCAGAGAGCAGTTGCAATAATCAAAATGTCGAAACATGTTTGCCGGTGTCTCGCAACTACACAGATTTAAGCGAAACACTCTTTATAAGTTTGTCTACTTATAAGAATGATCCTCCTAACACATTGCAGCAGGAATTCATGTCAAATTCAGTAATGTTGTAAGGAAAAAATCCACACTGAGGTACAAGACAAATAGTATTTGTAGTTATAAGAGGAGAGGTAATAGAGCTTTGCCGACTAAGCCTCTACTGCACCGGTTTCAGTTATTACAACTAAATCTTAACAAAATTAACCACATTTTATTAACCAACTAAAAAAATGCTTTAAAAACAATTTCATTGGTGTGACAGGATGCTATAATTTTATGTTGTATTCATATGGCGGAATCCTGCAGAATCATGATATTAGTCCAAGAAGAAAGGAATTTCGCAATTGAACCAAACAATTTAGCATGACGGTCAGGCAGCTATTTTGGGATTAAGCTTTTGATTAATTGATGAATGCTTTCTGTTGTAAGATGAACAAGATTTTATTTGACATTCAACATGTATTAGAAATTTTAGGTGTTGAAACTGAATTGTAATCCAAAAATGTGTAAATCTCTGAAATATATTGTTGGACACAATAAGATGTCAAAGGCAATTCATTATTCTGAACTTTTAGGAGGATTCTATGACATGCTAGCTTTCTTAAAGGGGAATGGGTTATGTAAATATGAAAAGGAGAATAGCTCAAGCGCAATGTCAACCAATAATGTCCCATATTTACTTTGCCCAAGGAGGTTATGGCAGGTTGAATTACGTAGAGCGGATCCAAATGACAGGGCGGAGATAGATACACAAATGTTTTTTTTACATTCATAAACGTGAAGCGTGAAATGATACGGCTTTGACAAAGGTCTGTGCTCTTTGTGCCTTTGTAGTTACACGTTAATCTGTTTGTTTTTGTTATCAAATTGCATCTGGGTCGTAGATAACACAGGATATGCAACCAAGTGTACAACCACATCCTTGATTACAGTCATCGTCTACCTGCAGTGTGAAGACGACTTTCCAACTCACTGACATAAGTAACAAGTGCTTCCAGTTAGGGTTGAAGATAGTGTAGTTAGGTTGAAAAACCCATTAAGACACAATATTACTCCAAGTCAAGTGCAAATTTACAAACACCAAAATTGTTTGTTCAAGGATTCAAAGATTTTTATTGTCAATTACACACGCCCTGTGTATTGAAATTCTTTCAATGCTCTCGTTGACAGATGTTGGCACCGATTACTAAGAACTTATCTTTTTTTCATGAATGGTATTATTTAACTTATCTTCTACGTTTACTTATGTGTGTTATACAGCTGCATGATGAGTGAACTGTCTGACATACAGTGTCTATTCGGGGAGGAAAGTTACATTACATTACATGACATGTCATTTAGCTGACGCTTTTATCCAAAGTCAATAGGTTGACTCAACTAATTACCTCAGGACAGTTTTGATCAGAGGCTGGATACTATTACATATTTTTAAATCTGTCATAATACTATTTAACATGCAACACTGTCATAATGACTCATAACACAGACTTAAATAATACAGTGTCTGAATACATATCAAGATTAAAGCTGAGCGATATATAAACAAAGTGGTCAACTACACTAATGTGCTGCAGTATCTTTTCGTATTTTTGTACAAATATTCTATTTTAATTTAAGCAAGATTGATAGTTTTTCTATGGGCTAAAATACACTCTAATGTATTTAATAATAACATCTAATAGCATGACTTTCCCCATAGACCACTCCTAAAAGATAAGTATGCTGTCTCCAATCTTTTGAAGAAGGAAATGTTTTGTTCCCAGAAAGGTGTAGGAAGAGAAAAAGGTTTGTGTGCAAAGACAACAAAGAGTAACCACAGTTTACAGTCGGCATCCTTGTTTGTTTGGTTGGCAAAAGTAGTTGTGCAATCATTGGCAGCGGTTGCTAATGCCATTGTCAACATAAGGAATGAAAATAACACAATCACTATCAAGAAATGTACTGATTACTTTTATAATTTGGTCTTCAATAAAAGTCGCATCAATCTTACAAATGCCTGTAAATATTGTTTACAGCCTCTTTTTTTGGCTGTTTCACAAGTTTATCACAGTAACACAAACATAAACGTAAATTAATAATTCGCTGTCCTTGCGCCGAAATGGTGGAACGAGCTCTCTGAAGACACCAGGACCGCAGAGAGCCTTCACATCTTCCGCCGCAAACTAAAGACACACCTCTTCAGACTCTACCTCGACTAAAGACTAACAAATTGTAGCACTTAAATTGTACTTGTAACGTCACTCATCTATAGCAAATTGTAAATTGGCTTGTTTGAGGAAATTGCACTTTCTTGTTTCTTGTTCTCCTGAGTTTGTACCCTATGGTTGAATGCACTTACTGTACGTCGCTTTGGATAAAAGCGTCAGCTAAATGACATGTAATGTAATGTAATGTAATGTAATAACTGTAACTACCGCCAGATTATTTGGAGAGTTGGGGTGTCCCAAATTTCCTTATCAAGAACATTCTCCATTCACCTCACCTGGGGAGCTGACAATTCCCATGTATGATTTCCATAAAAGAGCACAACACCTGACATAGTTATATATATAATAATATATCTATATATGATAATATATATATATAATTATGTATATTATAATATATAGATATATTATAAATATATAATAATGAATAAACTATAGCCTCCATTCGGTGTTTCATTTTTTTTACACACGACCAACCTATTCCTCTGTCGTTCCCTCTACTAACTGCAGGTGGCAGTGTTCTTTTTGGGCTCGCGGGGTTCTACCTCACGAGAAAGACTACGAAGTTCGCGCAGGCGCACTCGGTTACTTGTACTAAATGGCATCTGCGTTTGAAATGCCGCCCGGAAACTCTGCCATGATGTGCTGAATATAATATTAAAAATAATATTTACCAGTTAGTTACATTTACAGAGAACGGGCAGCATGGGTGAGTTGACATGAAAGAAGTACTGCTTTTAGTAGGACGCACGAGAGCAGCAAAAGCGTAAATTAGCATCTGCTAGCTAACGTAACTTAAATTGTAGAATGAATGCAAAGTTAACGTTCAGCGTATGGACGGTAACGTCATCGACGCTTCAGTTATGAAGCCTCTTTGATCATCAGTGGAAACCACTCAGTCGAAAGTCTATCGAAAGTTACTGGCAGGCAAAACGAGCTTTAATCTGTGCCACGTTTTTGTGTTTTTATTTTTTTTGCAGAGAGTAGAAGTGATCAGAACGAGAGCTCGTCATCACCCAGCGGGATACTGCTGTCCCCTGCGACCGACCGGAACCCCTCACCGCCGCCTCGAGCAGCCGGGGAAAAGACCACCGGAGATGTGGACGCGATTGGAGACACCGTTTACAGCAAGCACTGGCTTTTCAGCACCCTGACTCGTCTCATTCAGGCTGGTTTAAATACTCATGTCAAATCGCCTCTCTCTGATCAGTCAATTTGGTGACCACAAAATGAGTCCATGGTAATTAAAAGAGTTTCTATTGAGTTCATCTTGTCCCTCAGATGGTCACGGAGCATTCGGAGGGGAACTCTGAGGGTCAGATGCAGCTCTCTGATGATGATGAGGAAGACCTTTGCAGAGTCTGGGATATGGCCATGGATAAGGTAGAGTTCATTATTTGATTTGTGTCCCATCGGCTTTCCATTCTTTGCTTATTTTCTTATCTTCCTTGTTAAAGGTTGTTCTACCTATAGTGTTACAGTGGGAATAGGTGGGAAATACTTTATGTACTGCTCAGAGGCTTAATCTATAATAAATCATCAATTATTAGTTGATTGTATTGCATTAATATTCTAAGGCTGCAAAA